CCGGCCGACTGTGCGCTCTGGGCGGCCCTGCCATGAGGAACCTGACTCTGAGTTCCCACAACGTTTCAAAACGGCAGCATCACGTGGAGCGTGAGATGAGCTGGGGAGTCCCCAGTTGACCCCGGGCTCCGTGTGGCACACCCGTTTTGCATGCCGGGAGGAGCCTGACTCCTGGCTTCCACAGCGGCATTTCAAAGCGACAGTGCCACGTGGAGCCTGGGGTCTGGCCCCAGGTTCCATGCGGTGCTGCTGCTTTGAAGAACTCCCCCCCTCCCCCGTCCTTGCAGCCTTTTTCTGCTAGAGACAGCAAAGTGGGGAGAGCTACTAGTCCACAAGCTTATCGACTATCTGATAAGCATTTGCTTAGTGGATAGTCGACTAGTCCTTCACATCCCTAGGGCTAACTACATCGTTATTAGTGATAATTTTATTTAGAGAATACTCCCACCACCTAGCTACTCGGTACAAAACAAAATTCCTTATAAAATTCCATAAAAAGTACTAGAAAATCAAACAATAATGGCAATGCAAAAACACGAGGCTCCTACACAGAAATAGATTTAAAAACTGAATTAGCCACTTTAAAATGTTGTTTTCCATTCTAATGTAGTTTTGTAAATGGTTACTAGATGATTTATATGTTCATTTAGGGCCCAATTCTGTTCTCAGTTCCAGCATAAATTTAGAGTAATTCCATATAATTTATGTGGACAGCATTACTACGGCTAAACAGATCTTGCTATCTCATATCGAAGCCCTGCATGGCTTTTTAGTGGGCCTCAGAGAAAGAGATACGGATGCAATTTAATATCAACAGTTGATTGATAACTAGTATAGGGCCCTACTGCTCTGTTTAAAAGTCCCTGAATTAACTGCTGTTTACTGTTTTAGGGCTAGTTGTCATTTAAATAATAAGAATGCCATAAGCAAGGAAATTACAATAAAAATTAAATGAAGAGCTATTTTGGAATTACACCATTGGGTCCATATGACTCAAAGGTATTAATTTACAACAAAGGCTAGATTACCACAATCTTTCACTGCATATCATAGTGTAAGGATTATATTTCTTTGGTAGTACAGGCTAATCCACACAATGTCTCAAATATATCTATAAATCTATCCTTCTACCCTGAATATGCTATTATTCATTGCTATTATTCCATTTATTAAACATAGAAAGGTTTAATAAACCCAGCAGCGATGATGGATTTGTTCAAGTTGTCATAGCTGATATGTGGACTGCAACAAATCATAGACATAGCCAGTGGTCTGAAATTCTCAGCAGTTCCCTGCATATTTATTGTGATATTAACATGGAGGAATGTGTAGTGTATATAGAAATAAAAGCCGATGTGCAATGTTTAGCAATTCAGTCTGGCAGAAGGCCCTTAGGTGAGCTGATCATGATACTGACACTTCCCTTCTTGCTTTCTGGGGCTCCCCGCCACTCTCTTTTTATTTAGTTACTAGCTGGAGGTACCCAGCATTGCTCGGGAAAGTGGAGGAACAAAACTTAGAAAACTTGTTGAAATATAGGTTGATAGTTGATATAACTGAGGTGAGGAGCCTGAGGGGAGGGAGGGAGCCATGTGCCTCCCGCTGGCACCCGAGCCCGCCTTCTGCTTCCTTGTCCCTCCACTGGCCTTAGTGAGTGACTGTCTCCGCCGCTTCCCCCAGGAAGCCGCTTCTCCCCGCACTGCCACGCTCCGTGCAGCCCTGG